TAGACCCTCAGACCTTTTTCCTATTCAAGCTGATAAATAAAGACCTATGAAGAATTCTGTTCTGAAAACCCGCCATCTTTCAAGGAAAACAAAATCTCAATCAGCCACACTTAGTTTGTTTAAACATTTATTTGATCCAGAATACTTTTCACAAATGTCATCTGCTTTCTGAGATTATTCCCAGGAGATTCTGATGGTACAGATTTTCTTCTTAAACAACATTATTGACATGTTTATCTGTACAATGGAGAAGCTGGGCATGTTTAGGAGAATAATATAGCGATTACAGGGTTAATAAAGCCAAATATTTGTTGAGAGTTCTGTAATAGTTCTGATAATTTTCTTTTTGGATAATGTTGAAGAAGAAGAGGGTTTGTAGGCATTAGAGTAACTCCTTTACCTTTCCAATTGAGTGATATAATATAAAAAGAAATCTGAAGTAATATGCAGAACCTCACTGTGGGTTCAACAGGTTGATCCATCAGAATTTCCAGAGAAAAAATTAGGTTACCACTTGACAATGTGAATTTTAACAAAAAAGCTTTGGGTAGCCATAGCTTTCATAAATCAGGAAGTGCAAGGATCAAAATCTATTTGCCCAGAAAACAAACAGAGACTATGAGCTCATATCCCAAATTACATTTCCTATCGCTACTTAACAAAAAGAGATAATACATAAAACAATAACAATGATAGAGTACATTACTGCAAAAAGTATAATTATTTGCTAATTTCAGACATATCATAGGATACTTAAACAGCTGTAGTATGCGTATAAAGCAACCTTCACCATGATGCTCAAAGTGTAAGTCTCGAACACAGCCAGGCCCAGCTCTACATTTACCTATACCAACAGCATCTGAGAGTTCACATGGCTATGGGATCATGAGTGCTGCAATGTGTGTACAGGGGACATGCATTAAACATCGTCCATCACTGCATGGAAGAAATACACCTAGCTACCTTTCCGCAGAAGGTAGGGAACACAGGAAGGGCAACCAAAGGCTTTCCTGGAGACATGGAAAAAGAGAGGTTGAATTGTGTATGTGAATCCTGAAGTTTTCAGTTCTGCAAATGCTAGCTTTCATTAACCACTGCACAGTGAATATAACACTTTGTAATCACATACAATGAACATACAGCAGATATAACAGATATAAGTCAAATAATATTTGGAGAAATGTCAAAACTTTGGAGGAGATCTTATCTAGAGAAGAAAATTTCATTACAGAATCTTGCAGCTATGCAGTTATTCAGCTTCTCTCTAGATCCAGTTAGTACAAAGTAAACACCAAGATACTGTCAGCGTTACCACCACAGGTTCAACAAAGCACAAAGGAAAATAAAGAACAACGTGAGAATAAAACTATACTACACCTAGGTAGGACAGGTAGACTCAAATGTTTATTTTAACAATCATCTCAAACATTTTTCTTCCAAATAATATCATTCATTTTGAATACTTGAAAAGTTCCTATAATTTGTATTATATGATAAATAAATTCTAGAAAAAAAAGAAAACACTGAAAAATTTCCATCAGTAATAATACACTTCAGCAATAATACACTTACAATCCATACTAACAGGAAGACAAACAATCCATATTTGGCACAAAATACTGAAACTCCAGTTACACCCTAGTTCCCACTTGATTTAAACCTTCATTAGAAAATATACAACTGTTAGTGCAGAACAATAGAAATATCTCATGTAATAAGAGTAAATTATATATGAATGAGAGCCAGACACCCTTTGACACACTGCTGATAAAACTCTTGGCTTCAGGCACATTTCTGAATTGGAAACCCCGTTGGGGTAGCTCCCCAGCAACAGAGTTACGTGAGAATAAAACCACACTATAATAAACTTACCTTACTGACAATTTTATGCACTGTTCACTAATGTTAATTTAATAAGATACTTTTGCAGGGTAGCTGCCTAGTGTCCCAGACTGCATGTTCCAATACCACACTTAAAGCAGCAGCTGGACTTCACCAAATTGACTGTCAGTCACTATTCAGTGTATACGTTACAGCACTTTAGTTATAATTCTGAACTAGAACTGTCTTTTAATCTAATTCTGGAAGGAAAGCATGGCTGCAGGAATCTGGGTTTCACGCAGACATTTCAAGTCGCTTAAGATCTTCTAAGTATCAGAGAGATCCTCTTAGGGCTTGTTTGCTGTACTGTGATGACCTTACATCTAAATAGGACAAAATATGTGGGGAAGGAAAGGGGAACATATTTATCTTATATACATTGACTTAGTATCTTAATTCTCCTTGATGCTCCTATGTGTTCCTGTATGTCAGAAGCCAGAAGCGTATCAAGTGAAATTATTTGCATCGAGATACAGGCTTGTCTCTTTCTTTGTGGTTTCTAGAATTTCGTTCTTCCCGATGTCTTCTCTCGGAGAAGAAAATATGTTCAGAAAATCCATCTGGACTAAGAAAATCAACAATAATCCCTTTTACGAGATGTTCCACCTGGTAGCATGGAGACATCAAAGGTTCAAGCCTTTATTCCCCCTCAGAAAACCAAAAAGACAGTTGGAAATATCTGGTGGGAACAGTGTCTTCCAAGTAGTAGAAAGTAATGTTAGACGTCTTGATGAATGTCAACATGCTAACATGAAAGCAAGTTGGTTATCTGAACTCTACCGGTGGCTCAGTGAAATTTGCTATCTGATACAAAGGCCACTGTTGCTGCCTATATTCTCAGCACCTTTGACTAAACTGTACACACACACTGGAACTGGGGAGTACAAGTACTGTAATTTCTTCAGATAATTTCTAAAAGGTATGGCTGGTGTAGTTACACTATAGTTTCTTACCATATACAAAACTGATATTACTAAACTAGTGCGATGCAGATTATATTTAAATAGTTAAACAAAAATACATAAAAGCATTAGGATTGCTTTGGGAAGCTACTAAAGAAGATCACTTTCTTGTTTTCAAAAGTACATGTATTCCTGAGATCACATAGAATCTGATGCTCAACTAGATATTCATGATAAAACGGCTCTGCCTTTAATTCTTTCCCCAAAATTTTACAAAAAAGCTAAGAAACTTCCACAAGTGTTTGTTCTTGCCCAAATAAAACAGAAGTAGTCTCTGATCATTCATTCTTGAGTGTGACTTTTGGGAACAACATGGCAACATGATTTTTGGCAGATTGATGATTTAATATAAAAAAAAATCCAAAAGCATATGTAAAACTCAAGTTGTCAGAGGGCTTTGACACATGAAAAGGTTACCATGCACTCGCTGCTGTCATTTAGTCAGTGTGCATGCTTCTACTCCGTAATGAGTGCTCAACATGAGATAATTTAAGGCAGGCATAGAAACAGTGTGGTGTTACTTAAAAGGCTATACACCTATCAATAAAACCTCAAGACAGAGTATTTATGCCTCCAGTCACATGGTTTGCCTATCTGCATAAATTCCCTGCAACTATCCATATTGCATATTGTGGGTGCACCCACATCTGACTGGGAAATCACTAAGCCCTCACTGATAGTAGGATAACTTACCATACATTGGTATCATTGATTGAATTGTGAACACGTTACCATTGCACGGCTGATGGACAATAACTTGTTCACGTGTCAAAAATCAGAACTATTTTATCCTCGAGGAAAGTTGTGTGTGGTAGTCTGCCGTTAAAGCTTGTAATTTGTTCCAAGTTATGTTAGTGTGACAAAATATTTCAGCTCTGAAATGTGATAATGATGTGACCATATGGAAAGTCTTGTTACAGTACTGTTGTGATAAATGCAAAAATTCAGCTGTGCATACCTCCCAAGACAGAATATTTCTCATTCTTCTTTGTTTAGGTTTAACCTGGAAGCAACATTATCTATCATTATTTCAGCAAGGTTGTCATCATATTTGTAGAAAGGCCTTGGCATAGCCTCTTAACTCCTAAAACTGTGTATTTCAGATGTCTACACGATGACATCTAGGTGAATCTTAGCTGTGTACATTCCACTCAGTAACACTGGCACACTTTGGAGTAGAAGCAAGAAGCTGGGGCTTGCTCTTGCAGTTTTGCTGAGTCTGAGTGCTTACTTTTTGCAAGGCTCAGAGATGCTACTGTCAGGATACCTCATATGTAGGATTTGTACTAGAATGCCCCTATCAGATTTTTTTCTATTCATTCCCTCTTCCCTCCACATGATGCTAATATGTCTGTTTACACCAATTCCTGAATTTATGTTTCATAAAAGTTGAAAGAAAAGTATTAACTGTAGGTGACAGAAGAAAGACTAATTCCCCAACAGGCTTTATTTGGTAAATGTATGAGATATCCGGGTTTTGATGAAATAGAAGACGCTGGTCTCCTATGCTGTGCAATTTTTGAAGAGCTTCGAATGCCAATAGCCTAGGATATGGGAACTGTAAGTATGGGCTCATTCATGAGATGTTATACCTACGAGGAATTAATTTATTCCTGGTGTAAGAGACCCGCTTTATCTAGTAGCAAAAGATCCTGCAAAAAAAGAGTTGCTGCCTCATAGTGAGGCAAAGAGGAAATGTTTTCTGAAAACATCACTGCCAAGAAAGTAGAGTGTGAGTCGGTACAGAAGGCAGTGCCCTTAAATTTCTACAATATTTTGTTATTTTAACCTTAAAATCAACGCCAATTTATTATTAAAATCAGAAAAATATGTCTTTGGCAGTTATTAAAAGATAGATGGAGGAACACTTAAAGTTTCAGTCTGCCACCAGAAATAACTTTCTCCCAAGATCTCATTTTATTACAGGATTTTTTCATCAGGAAATTATTTCTAACAGCAATTTCTACTTTCTCACTAAATTTTGGCAGTTCCTGAAAGTATCATCACTTCTACTGCTTCTTCAATTAATTATGAGTTGGTACAATGTATGGAAATATTAATATAAACACATATTTATTGGAAGAATATATTCTAAATATAAGATTGCAATATATTGTTAAAATCAATATATGTTTTTCATACGATCAAAATAAAAAATGTCAGGGTTCCAAAGTCAATTGTTTTAAAAACTCTCTTTCACAAGAAATTTAGAGAACTTTCAACATAATTTTGAGTATTTTAAAAAATATTGCAATTTCCTGTTTCTAATCAAGTTCTCTGATACAGACTTTCACTGCACGGTAATATATACTTTTCTGTAAAATACAGTGCACCAGACGAAACTAACTGGTTAATGACTGTTTAATACTATCTCACTTATGTCCATGCTAAATTGCTCAACAAACTCAGTGATACATGTAGGTACAACAGGCTGGAATTTTTACTCCCAAACCAAAAGGCTTAATAAAATACAGAACATTGATGAACCTTGTGTTGAGAGTAAAATCACAAGGACACATCCCTACTGTGGCAGGCTGAAGTCTTGTTTCAGTGGGGTTAATGAAAAAGGTATTGTTGTCCCACTCTAAGACATGGAAAAGACTGATTCTAAACCAAGGAGGAAAGGATTTCCTTCACGCTGGCAGGCCAGCTGTATATAACAGGAAGATCAGTCTGTGTCTCTTGAATGGCGTTGTAGCTCTCAAAGCAGCCCAAATGCATCTCTTCTTCCAGGAGTATATCTCAAAACCAGGGCTATGCTGAGCTGGAAATTGCAGGATAATACAAATCACCAACTGTGAGAAGATGTAAGCCAGCGAGGGCTCCAGAAGCCAGTATTACTCAGTTGTTTTGGGGCCCACCTGCTCACTGTGACCTGAAATGGAATGGTGGGACCGTGGGGAGCTTCGTGCCCTGTGGCTTGCACACATACAAATATTTTAATATAAAGGTTGCTATGTTTACAAAGATTTGACAACTCTGCTCTAGGAGGAGGATTTCCTCCAGCAGAGAAAAGATTAAGATACATACTATCTGCGATTTCTCTTATGAAGCCATGGTAAATGGAAATCAACAAAGACTTATCATATCATTGTCATTTAGATCAAGGAATAAGGATTTGAGCTGGTAGACTGAAGATAGAAGAAGGTGAGATGACTATTGACAATAGATTTCTGTAAGCTGAAAAATAAATACAGTGAATTCTGTTCTGACTCCTCTTTTCTTCACTGTTTTCCCATGGCAGTTCCCTACTTTAGACAAGATGTTCACAATAAGTAAACAAAAGTAGTACAATGACTTTCTAATTCTTCTTTCTAGGAAGAGCTAGTTATATAAGTAACTTGTAAAGATGTTAAGATTTTCTGTCTAAAATTAAAATTGTCCGGAATTTATGCAAAGCTTTCCCCTCAAATAAATGTTTCTAGTGATGTGAAGATTCAGAAAATGCTTCAACAGCAATAACTGGGATGGACGCTCTGTTGTAATAATTTGGATACACTTGACTAATGCAGTTATTTGCAATGAGGTTGGCACACTGCCCAAAGCACTGAGCAAACAAATACAGAAAGACATTCAGTTTAGTGCCTTCCAATACTGCAATGACATTTTTGTTCGGTCCAGGGATATTGTGGACAGTATAGTGTACTCTGTCATCAAAAATTACTAAAATATATTTATATTTCTTCGTTAAATTCATCAGTATAAAAATGCTGGTGAGGCACAAGTGTTTTAAATCAAATTAGTATGCAACATAAGGCAGCTGTGTATTCAAATGGGTTTTTAAGCAATTTGGTTGTTTTCCTTATAATAACAGGAAAGAACATTTTGATTTTGAAGGTGACAGAGGCAATATTACCAGAATTAAACAATCTGAATTAGCTTTTTCATGAAATGTAATATGTTTTATGCTTTTAGATGGGATGCTCCAGTGCTTTCAGATGAGCCTTTCACTGTCACAGTCAATGGCCAGGAACAGAATAAGCTCTGGAGGTAGGATTATCCTCAAATTTAATTTTTTTAGAAGAAGCTAATGGCAAATGTTTCTAGCAAACTTTAGGTGTATCTATGTTATAACTAGAGAACCAAGACAGGATATTAAAAGAAAAGATAAGTATGAAATTAGTGAGCAAAGTTTGACATTTTGCTTAGCCTGAATTTGATGTCTGAAATGAACATAATCTCTAGAAGGCTAAAAAATATATACTGTTATATAGTATATACCTGCTTTTGTTTTCAGATAGACACAGGAAGAAAATAATAGCAATCTATCATTTATATGTATAATATGGTGTCAAAGAAACATATCTTTAAAACACTTACATTTGAATTTGTGTAACAAGATAGAGATTTCTGCAGGGAATGGATGTGAATTTGCTTTTGTTATACTTCAGGATGTAGAAGTTTTCCTCTGTTCTATAAAACTGCAGTTTGATTCAGATGTGAAAGGACGCTACCTAGCTAACACAGCAAATAATATTTCTCTGGAAAATAACATGGTGATTCTATGCTTTATATCATTCATTGGCTTTAGGATCAAATGTATTGAATTTACAAGTAAAAAGATGAACATCTCTTCCTTAACTGTTACACACAATGCAAGTTCTACAAACCAAATCAGATGCTTTCTTCTTGACACTTCATCACAAAAACCTATGGTCCTCAACCCTTCAGTTGCACCTGTGCAAATCCACATCTTCAGAGAAGTCCACACATATGGATCCGTATGCTATTCTCATGAACTCAGCTGGCCTAAGGAAAGGAGAGTAAGGGAGACAGGGAGTGAGAGAGGAGAAGGGAGTATGCCTGCAGAGCATATTCTGTGTGTGCCTAAGACCTTGGTGTAGTGAACCATGTGAGCAGCATAAATCTACACAATTCCTGAGATATGCCTTGCAGTAGAATGGAAATTCTGGAACAGAACTACTAGTAGAATGGGAATATTTCTAGCACTGTTTTAAAGTAACTAGTCTGGAATTTGCAATGAAATGACAGCATGCTCACAGTCAGCTGAAGCTGAGGGATTTAAGAAGCTACTCCCTAGTTTAAGAACTCTTCTAGACTGCTGGTTACTGCATCTCTGCTCTGAGTTTTCATTAGGCTCATCACAATTACATGCCCAATGAAGGCTGTGTATGAGATGCAAGTAGCTAGGAAGGGTGCTTCTCTTGTGGATGGGGACTATGGGAAGCATTTCCAGATGTTGCCAAGAGTAGCGACAAAGTGCATAGATCTAAAAATATGATGTTTTCCAGGTTCTTCAGCTTTAATGAAATCGACATATTCATGGTCACAGAATAATGCACTGCACAGCCCTTAATTTTGACCATATAACCTTGAGATTTCAATTCACACTTTCTTTATTACAGTGGTAACTGTCTTCTACACCTGCCACAGAATGAAAGACAGGCAGTTCAAAGTTTGGTTCCGTTATTTCCTCCTGAAAGTTACCCAGGAAGGAATTACATAGGAATCTGGGTATCCAGAGGAAATATAAGAGTCATAGGCTACTGTGGGGAGTGCTGGAAAAGGATACTACTTGAGTCAATGACAAAAAGTAGTCACTACTTTAGTTGATCTGAAATAAAGATAATTTTTTGCAAGAAAGAGTTGAAGATAGAAGATTCCACCAGTGTTCAATCTACAAAAGGATCGTGGAAGAAGATGCACAGCCAAGAGGACATCAAGAAGGGAAATTTGGTTTGGAGTCTTTATCGCTGTGTTTGTACAGTCATTTGGAGAACCCTAGAAATAGAGAAACACATTTGGAAGCAATTAAAGGAAACAAGTGGGATCATAGAGGAATCAACATTGAACTTCTCATTACAAAAAAAAGATGAAACTCCTGAATTATCTGCTAGTACATCAATATAGAAATCAGGTTGCTATTGTTTAAAATGATATTTGGGCTTCTTTCTGTCCAATATGATATGTTAGTTCAGCTAATTCACTCGAATGAGCTGAAGAACACTAGGCATACATCTCTGACACCAGAAAGAGAAGCACTATCCATGTTGCAATGCACACAATTACAAAAAATAAAAATAATTAAAAAAAAATCTGAAGGCAATCTTTGAAATATAATCAAAAAATTGCATAAAGGGAAGCAACAGGCAATGATTAGATTCTCCTTCCTTACAACTTGGTAATTTCAAGAATTAAGCTAAAGAGTCTAGTAATATAGGCTCTATAATCGTCTGGAAAAAGATGCAGAATATTCTGGAATATGCCAAGACAGAAAGAATTATTAAGAAAATTTCAGGCCATTAGTGTTAACCTTTTTTTTTTTTTTTTTTTTTTGCAAGAATATAACTAGAAATAATGGTACGGGACAGGATTACAAGACATTTAGAAATGGGTGATTTAGTTAGGGACAGACAGCATATACTCACTAAAGGTAAATCGTGTCTGACAAATTAGCCTGAATCTGATTATTTTAATGTTCTGTTGGTGAAGGAACAAATTAGTGTCCACAATTCATCTGATTTTCAAAACTATATTTGCCACAGAAGAGACCTAGTTTGCAAAGGGGGAATTATGGGCAGTTATTGAAATAGAGTGAAAATTATCTCAGGAAAATGAAAGAGCATGTCAATTAACAGTAACACTTCAGGTGGAAAAACGTATACAATCAGCAGTCAATAAGCACCACTTTACTTGACCTATTACACAAATTGCATTGAAATCAATGTCAAGAACGGCTAGATTTAGAGGTAAAACATATTAAGAATAACAAAAATACATTAAGTTTCTGGGAAATGGATAGTAAAGCTGCATCAACATAGTTTATATCTGAAAATAAGAAAAGTTTTGGTGCTTTCCTGCACTGTAATTCCCACTCCCTTTTTTGCATTCAATCATTCATTCTTCAACCCAGCAAATCCTTTTCAGAAACTGTGAACAGTTTTTTTTTTGAAGGGCTAGATATTTTTAAAATATTTGTATAATAAATGTATTCCAACAGATCCCAAAGCCTGGATTTACTCTAGTGATCCTCAGGGATTCATATCTGAGAGCATTTCCAGATGACTCTGAGAGCATGAGTGCTACAGCTGCTCCTTCAGGAAGAGAATTTCTTGCCTAGGCCACTGTTTTATTTATCTTTGACTTGCGCAAAGGACACATCACAGTCACAACAAAAAATCATGCTTCTATCTTACAGGCCTCTTGGATTAGGTATTATACGTAATTCCTTCAGTCAAGCAAGAAATAGTGGTTTGCTTCATGTTTTTTGGTTTAGCTTATAATAAACTACCTTAATACAGCCCTGAAATTGTTCAGGGAGTACTCAGACTCAGCGTTAAGATGATTTGTTTTAGGTCATACTGCCATATATTTTAATTCCACATTAACTTTATAACCAAGATACATAAAGAGATCTTTGCATCTTCTTTAAGAACTGATACTGTGCAATTATACTTTTAGAATATACTTGGAACGTAAGATTGAAAATTTCCACCAATGCGGCTTATCTGAAAAGGCTACCCTTCCACTAGCGTGCCCAGCCCAGAGCCCTACGTTATTCTGGCTTTGCTTCCTTCAGCATTGCTGACGAAGCTACTTCTTTTCAGCATAACTTCAATATTCTTTTGGAGTAGGATTCTGCTGTTAGATGAACACCCTAATGACTATTTCATCCTTTATGTCTATTCTAAAACTATTTAATTATTCACAGCATGTGATAATACTTTGAGAAAGTGAGGCAGATTCGGCTAAGGATAACTTGTAACCTGTTCATTCAGGAAGGTGTTCTTGGGAAAGGAGGGCATTTTACTTCAAATCAGATTGAGAGAATTCTTGAACCTGCTGAGCCCCTGATTTACTGACATTTAAGTGAGAATGGGTACTTTCATCTCCCTTTGCTAAAAAACATCTAATACCATCTCTAAATCTAGCCACTGGTTTCCAAATGTCCTTTGTTTTTAATCAAAACAAACAAACAAACAAACTACTAATTGTTGGACATGAAATTCTCATTTTCTGCAACCTCAAACATTTCTTTTTCCTGTGCCCCATAATCTGAATATCTTGGTTTTATATTAGCCTGAAACAGATTTTAAGAATTCTTGGTAATTATTTCTAAGTAAAGACTTAACTTTCACCATTCTGCTATGGCCTTCACTGATGGCACAATCAACCAAATTGCAGCAGACTGTCCTTCTCTTTTCTATAATAATTTTATATTCCAGCCTCTTCTAGAGTTTCATTATTTGTAAATAACTACAATTAACGAATATGGTACAATTCATCCATTAATGCTGCAATGCAGACACCTTAATCTCAAAGATACCATTGTTAGGTACTACTTTTAAATACCACAAGGAGCAATAACAAAGTTCCTGACATTGTAAATAACTGTCAGTGCCAAAGCAGTGAATAGGAAAAATGAACAGTAATCTGACTCACTGTCACTAGGAGACAGAATAGGAACTAGAACAGCATGATAGATACCCTCGTTCCCATCAGAGATTGTTTTACTGACAAGAATCAATATCTGCAATAGTGGTAGTTTCATATTTTCCTTGTGTGGATCCCAGCTGCCTTTCTGCTCCAACACTTTACTATTCTTAGGAGACATCAGTACTTGGGTACTTGGGCATCACTTTCTCTGGCAAAGACTTGCACTGCTGGGCATTACTGGATCTGCACTGGCAAAGGCAGCACACCAAGCTCCTCATTACTTACCCTTTCTACAACTTCAAAATCAGATTTTTCTGGACTGTTTCATACCATTTTTTTCTCCAGGTTTGTGATTTTATATTGTGTTGGCCTACTTGGCGTTTTAAAATAATGCGCATAAGATGTTAATGGTTAATGTCTCACAAGGGTAAGAAAAGTACTGTCAGTAAATACTTGTTTGGGAGACCGTAACCTGATGAACCCCTTGCTGTTCTCATATGTTTTCTACTTGTTTTATCAGGTCAGGGGTTTTCACCTAAGAGAGGAGAAGGCACATATAACAAAATATATATATATATATAGTTCAATCTGTTCGTTCCAGACAAATCTGTATGTTCTTACTCTGTGTGCCCCAGTTTGTTAATGTAATGCTTTCCAAGAGCATACTATAGCTCTATAGAGCACTGTAGTCTAGTTCCCTTGTTACGGTCAAGGGAAAAGCCACCGATTCTGGCATTATTCCTACGAAGAGTGCTTTGTTTGAATTTCAGTATTAATACTATCAGGACACTGCTGGAACAGAAGAAAGGGACACCTGCTCTTAGTATGTTCCCTTGTCAGTTCCGTGAACGCATGCAGTACTGCATGGTTAAATACCTAACACATGTTGCCCATCTGCATTACTGAACTATTCAAGCCTTGCACAATCTGCAGCAACCATGACACCTTCTAAAGAACGGATCAGAGCAGTTCATCAAAACCAAACAGTTAGTTGCAAATTGCTCCATCAGACTTTTTCCAGCTAATTCTAACTGTGACCACTCTTGCTGATTAATGTTGTTGTAATCCTGCCTGAGCTGAAAGGTTTAGGAAGGTGCAATATAAAGTTTCTACCAGTTTCTAGAATAATCAGTTTGCATAACAGGGTGCATTAATCTTATATGTAAACCTATTAAGAATTTTTTAGTTTTTCAAGCATGCAAGCATGGAAAATGTAGGCCTAATAAGTCTTTAACATAAGTATCCTTAATAAGGCATTTGAGATAAGTTACAGTGTAGCTACGCTTTATAATGCTGAAAGATTCCAATAACTTTGTTTATGAGATAAAAAGAAAAGCAAAAGTATGACTTTTATTAAGTTAGAACATTCTGCTGGTTGTTTGCTGCAAGTGTTTTTGGCGGTTATTAAGTGCGAAGTCCAGCTATTTTGACATGAAATATTTTTATACAGTATTTGTAAGATTAAGCTATAACACTGACCTTAATGATGCTCTTAATGTAAATTTGAAGTAAATGTGAATGACCATGAATTTATGTAGCTAATAAGCAAGCAAATCTCAAAACTATTAATCCACATGGTTAAAAATGAATATGTGAAGTAGGTAAAATAAGATATAGATAAAGTTTTGAACTTTTCCTTGGGAAATTGTTTACTACTCTGCACCATTCTACCTGGGTATTCTACAGGTACACAAGAGAAAGAAAGTAAACAGGTGAAAGAAAAACCATTGGTTTTTGAATTTAGTAATGAAAGGCATTCTGCCTTTTAGTTTTTCTTTAAATAAATCTATGACTCATAGTAACAATTTTAGCATGACTGTTAAGTGTTACCAAAGAAACAAGTACTATATAGGGCTTAAATCAAGACATGTACATAACATAAACATCTCAGAACATTATTATTAGGCTAAAGTTTATTTACCAAGACTAGTATATTGCAAAACTGTTGCAAAGCTAAGTCTCCTAGTGAAATAATATTTTAGTGGATACATAATAGAGTAATAGCAGGAGAGAGGATTCTACCTACCATCTGACTGAGGACTGACTGCCCTCACACCAGGTTTTCCCTGCAATTTAGCATACGGGCATATTAATGCATGAGTCTGTTAGAAGAAATGATCGAGTAGCAGGAAGCGCTAACAATGTCCATCTATTTGTACTGTGGAAGAAAAGAAGTGCTAGTACAGTTTGTCTTCAGCTCTATTCGCCCTGGGCTGTCTGGGAAAAAGCACAAGGAATTGGGGAAAAAAGAGAAAAATGATTCCTTTTAATTCGAGGCAGAATCTATTATGACATAATTAATAAGAAGCTTACATTTGAATGTAAAAAGCAACTAGTGTAAGAACTGAGCTCACGTACTTCTTTGATCCTTTGTCACAAATCATCTAGAAAATGCTACTAATAGTGAGGTTATTGTTACGCAGCAATTCAACATATGAAAAAGTCCCCGTGATTAAATTGTTAGATGTTTTACAAAAGATGGTTTTTGTTCATTATCTGATATTGTTTTACTCAAAGGCTGATATCACAACCTCTTAAGCATCAACTCCTTTCAATACAGCACTGGAGGAATATCTGACCTGCAGTCACACTTGCTGATTTTGTGAAATCAAGGTCTGTGCATAATGGCAGCTCCAGCTGTATTTAAAGCTTGTCTGCTGTAAGAAATTTGAGCCACTATGACTACATGGGATATTGTGATTCCTCTTGTTAGTCCTGAAGCCTCACGTGGTCTCTGAGCAAGAAAAAGGGGAAATTATCCTTACCCTATCTAAGACTATGTGGGGAAGAGGGCAGTTTTTCTTATCCTTTCACCAAAGACAAAAAACCCCCTCAATTTTACGAAGAAACGCATAAGTGGATTATCAGATGTCTGTATTTCTTTCAGATAAACAAAGAGATTTCACTTTCTGCAATGGACACTCTCTTCTGGGAAAGGGTAGGATCTGAATAACACTCCCGTTCTACAAGATACCGCGTTCTGTGACTGCTCCTGCATTACGTAACAAATCTCTAAAGTGGCTAGCCCTTGGTAGGGCAAATGGAATGGAGAGCAAATGGAGAAGAGACAGACTTCTCCTTAAACTAGTTCAATAAAAATTAATCTCGTCTGCTATCAAATTAATAATTTGATTTTACTACCTGTTATATTAATTTTCTAATTGAATCATTTGAACTTATTGAGTTAAGGATTCAAATTTAATGACAACATTAATTTGATCTTTACATTGTTTAACTATAATTAGCTCTCTGAAATTTTTATATATTTGCATAATAGAAAGCTTAACTTAAGATCTGTTTTTTCTTCTCCTGTTTTCATAAGAAACTGGCTAGTCTGTCAACACATAATGGTGTCAAAACTCTGAAGACAGAAACAACCTCAGCTACAAACACACATTTGCTTCTTAGCTAGTGTCTAGTCTACAATAGTTATAAAAAATACTGACTCCATCATCCATTTCCATTCCTGATCAAAACAGCTGTATAAATTTTTTAAAAACTTAATTTAAAAAGAGATAAAAATTCTGGTATATCTTTCAGGACAATTTTCATTTCTTTTACACTGAAATGTCAACAGTTTTATTCTTTACTTAAGATTTGTAAAGAAATGAAAATGGCTGTCTACAGTTCCAAAGTTTTTGCTGCAGTCTTACGCATGTTCTCGCTATTACTCTTGCAAAGACATAAAACAATACAAGATCTCCAGGTAACTGAAATGAATAAGCAAAAAGACCATTTAAATACAAAAGTTTTCTTTTTAATTGTATGAAAATAGCAAGTTACTTCAGTAGGACCAATAATGCGAACCACATAGCATCAGAATTAACTGCAAACTTTCATCTGTCCATTGTCAGGTTTACTTTACATTCTGTTTGGTCGTTCGAAATAACAGGGACTTCAGTTTAAAAAAAGAAGTGTATCACAGATGAGCAATATACTACAGGTTGAAAGATCCAAAAGGACTCACAGTGAGATACATGCATGAGAAAGAGATGAAAATACGTTATCTATTAAAGTATAAAGAACTTCACTCGACTTGCATGACTCTTTGTATCAAGCATGCTGCAGTACTCTTCTGATTCTAATATGAAACTATAGTAAGGATCATTGCACTAATGCAAGAGGATTTGTGACAATGTTGCAGAAATTTTACTGTCAAAACTGAACTGCAGTGTAATGACTTTTGTTATCATGGTTTCTAATAACTATTCAGCATGAATTGACCCTACATATGTTTTACTGCAATAATATGTCTGTTATTTAGAAAGCAGAAAAAGAAAACAGAAATCAATAGAGCCCTCCCCCCACACAATATGGTCACTCCAAGACGGCAGACCATGAATATAATAAATATTTTATTTACATTTTAAAACAATTGTAAATTGCAGAGGGACTATTTTTGAATAAAAGTTATGTGAACAAAAACAATTACCATCAGAAATGTATAAGACTGTGCCACTTGCAGTGCTAAAGACAGATTCAAGCAAATAGGTTCTTCACATATAATGACTTCTTATACCTCCCCATTTGGGAATCAACACTAACTTCATTATAAAATCAAATGCCAATGCCTGCAGCACAACCATCAATGCTTTAGCCCCATACATTGGAAATATGAAATTTTACTCATGGCACAGATTTTCTAAGTGACTAAGTTTCAAAGACGGCAAGATTGTCCAGTATCAGAAGAAAGATTTAGAATTAATTAGATTTGATTTTCACACATATTCATACTCTTGGCACTAATAGTCAAGCCTGTGCAGATTTCCAGAAGAAATTACTGACACGTATCTTCAGGGCAGAAGCTGTATTAATCACTTTATTTTAGGTAAGATTTTGTTACTTAAAGTCCATCAAATAAAGACCAATCTACAAATCTTGCCAGCATAAGTTGTTGTTACCTCAAAATACACGTATAAAAAAATAGTTTTCAACATTATGAAATGAAATCTAACTGCCTTTGAAAGCAAATGCTTAGGGAAAATATTAGGTGCTGAACAGAATTTATTTAAAACCAATGCCAAGATTCACCAGAGTTTATTCTAATGTCATCTAAAAAAGATGGAAATTTCTGGTTCATGCTACTAACGATATCCAACTAAGGATATCGGTTCATGCTACTAAGGATATCCAACGTGCCACTGGGCAGCTGAAAATATGTGTCTCAAATCAGTTTGAAGAATATCTTTGTAAAGGGACATATCTTCCTCAAATGCAGCAAACTATTAAGAAAAGCAAATGAGCGAAAAATAGTATCTCAAGATAGGCAGGTACAGAGGCAATTTTTTATGTCTAGGGTGATATTTGATTGCACTAATATTTGGTATTTGATCAGATTAAAAATTAGGATAATTTTAAATGCATTGCATAGTAGTGATCAAACACTCAAAAAAGCATCTTTGCTGACAGAATATATATTTCATTTTTTATAAATGAAACAAAATATCAGGCATTTAAGTTCTGATCAGCAACTCCCCAAAAATACAATACTCTGTAAAAGTAGAAAATTAACTAGGTAGGTAAAACACTACCTTAAAGAAAGTCATATAGCCATTACATCTCTACATTCATCTAAAACTCTAAAAAGTACATCTAGAGATAAGATTACAAATGAACATTAGCAAATTCTAAAGTTTTTGCTGCAGAGTAAGAATACCCATTAAAAATCTTCAGATGCTTGGATGTGACTAACAAATAATGTCAGTCAAAGGAATAGATAGATTGGAAGCCTCACTAGACTCACCAGAATGACTATCACCCTTCGAGTATAATTTGTTTTCTTTTCTGTAATACAAAAACCAATTACTCCATACGTCCTTGCAGAAATCAAGAATATTGAAAACCTGAACATTAGTACTGTAAGTATAGAGGAAATCAGGTTTTTCACATACAAGAAGTTGGATTGTATGCGAAGTATGAAGAAGTATGCCCACAACATATTTCTCAAATGCTTGTCTTTAAGAGCTTAAAATTTTCTAGCATATAAAAAGCAAGGAATGTGCATTTGCGGTTACATTTTGCACCCCCAAAATTTATGGGACATACACACCACAAATTAATAAAAACTTACTGTAGCTTTTCCTTTGTTTTTCATTTTGATGGAAAACATGAACCATCACTCCCTCCCCATATGTAATTCAATTTCATGTTCTATTACTTTTTCTGCCTGTTCTCCAGCTAAGTGTTTTTCCAGGTATTCTTCATCTTCCTCTTCACTCTTCTCCCTTTTTTCTGGAAATTGTTTTCATACTATGCATTCCTTTCTACCTCACAGCAATTTTATTCTCTAGCTACATCAACTCATCTAAGTTCCTCCCTTCAATGAGACACTACTAACAACCAAGTCTGTTTCCCAAATTTGTTTTTGATTAAGTAGCTTTCTTTCAGAAATTGCTATTTCTCAAAAGCAAGACTTTTTATTGGAACATCTGGGGCTTGCTGAGCATGACTAAGGAAAGGCTTTTTTGGCTTCAGGTCCTCAAATAGCCTGTTGACCAGGGTTCAACACGCCTCAGGGCCATTCAGAAGAAGTTTAACACAATTAACATTCCAAGAGGAGGGACTGCAAGAAAGAAACTAGCTAAATGTAATCCAGCAGTTATATTAATACTCATCTGGGATACTGGAGACTCATATTTTTGTACTTATTTCAAATGATGCAAAGCTGATATTGAATGTACATCTTCCACTAGGCTACCATCTATTGCCGCGTGCTAGGCTCTGCTTAAATATCCAAAGGAAAAGCTACCAACACCTAAAAATTTTCATTGGGATAAGAAATCCATCTCATCCATCTCATATAAGTAGCAGTAGGGAGAAAATACTGCTTATCTCCTCCCAAGTGCATTCCCAATATGCAACAAGTTTTACACTTTTCACGGGCAGAGCCCTTACATTCAACAATGCATATTCCCTCCACTCCTCAGTGTATCCTCCTCAGTGCTCAGAAGCTTACGAAGTCATAACAAAACACTCTACGTTACCAAGGCGTTATTTCACTCATCATCATCAAAATGGAGCTCTTTCTAAGGCTGAACAAAGCAGCTACTTAAAAGCCCAAAGCAAACCTACTTGATTAGCTATGGCAGGTGCTATGTCCAGTCAGAATTATTCCAAACAATGTAAAAATAGCTGTTTGCCTTTCATAGCAATATATTTTAAAAATAGCTTCTAATTTGGAGTGTATTATATATATATATATGACATAAAAGGATGAAAGTTTTCAGGATTTAGGGAACAATGAGTACACTTTCTTCTTCTTGAGTGTTCCTGTCACTGTGATGCATATGTACAGTACAGCAACTAGAAAAATCATTACATTGACAGTCCCACAGAATTGATTTTCTGTTGCAGTTGTAATTCAATTATTAGCAAAGCCTAAGAAGAAAATATACCTTCTTTTTATAAGAGCTGTATGTAATCAACACCTTTTTTCTTTTTGTCACAATTACTAAATACTTTATGTGATAATGGTAGAATTATCTTGCTTTTAAGTTGAACTAGTTATTCATTTTAAAAAGAGTTATCAAAAAGGAAATTAGATCTGTTGTCACTGTAATTCTCAAATTAATATCATGCATAGACTTTCTCTTCTTCATACATATACCTCTACTGAATGGCATAGAGGACTGTCAGAAATTCTAAATATTATCATCACTAATTTCTATCGCAGGCTTCGGCATATGTGGTACGATGCTGATTATAAGCTCCTATAGAATACTCATAACCATTTTCTTCAGAAATAAGATTTTAAAAAGCCAAACAAATGATTATGTAGCACTGCTGATGAAACTAGATCTTGTTAGTGTTACATTGCAATTTTGCTATTTTACTATGTTTATTTTATTGTATTCAAACTGAGAGTGAAAAAGGTAATAATATACACCAACTCATTTGCAATTTTCTTTGCTTCCAGACTATACCATTGAGATGTATGACAATATCATCCGTACTCTGTCCAGAAAAGGTAAACTGTTGAGTGGGAAATCTGTTAAGAAATATTAAATTTTGAGAATGTAGAAGACAAATATTCCTACACTCAAAAGATTCAGATGGCAGCCTAACACAGACACATTTTTCTTTAGACTTGGTAAAGAGTATGCCCTAATTCTGCATTCAGGGAAAATACATTCCTTTCCTTCTATAACGTAACCATTTTAAGAAAATATTTTGATACTCATAGCAGTGCCTCTGCTCTAATATTGACAGAACATAATTGACACTCATTTGGTGAAGAGAGACAGGAGATAATTTTTCATATTTTTGATGTGTTAAATCTCCAACTTGTTCTCCAAAAATAGCTAGCCTTATGAATATATTCTTAAAAATGCTTTTGTTCTTGAAAGGGCTGTATAGTTAATGAGACTATTTGCAAGGGATTTTTTCATTGATATTTGTCAGCAACAAACTGGATACACTGAATTGCAAAATTATAGATAAACTCACATGATATATGCAGAAATGAGCAGCTGATGATAAGACATATGATGGCATACAATGGACTGATAAGAGTGAAGCTTTAGCAAGTAATTTGGAATTGACATCTCATTTATTTATTTGCAGAATTCTACACTGCACTTTTAGAAAAGGGACTGAAATATCAGTGTATTAGGACTTGATTCCAACATAAATGACCTGAATTTAAAAAGATTCTCACCTGAAACTGTTGATGTGAATTTAAGGTTTGTGGGCACAAGAAGAATTTAAATGCATATTCATTGTCAAAAATACCGAAGTGAAAGATAAGCAAGGAACAATGCAACTAAAATATCTGAACAATATTTTTGTATTGATCATATTTTGAAAGCTAACTATACACACAAACAAGAACAATAAAAAAGACTTTATACATATATTTACATTAACTGGACGTTTCCACAGCAGTTTTGCAACATGTCACTTGATTCACGTTCCATGACACTTTAAAAAATTAAAAAATGTAATTCTATCCTTGTAAATGCAACTTTAGTCAACAAACATCAGATCTGTCCGCTATACTTCCATCATATTCATTCAACTAGGTTTTACCTTTTTTTCATTGTCATTTGTAAATTAAAGGCTTACAGAGCCTGACTATAGCTGTCATAAAACTCACAATTCCCAGAAAGAGCCTTCTATGGAGAAGTTATATGAAATGGCAAAGTACAATTTAATTACTGGATAATATAGCTAGATACAAAAATAAATACATTTCATATTCAAAAGAGAATTATGAATTCTTGAATAATGTATCATGAGTACCTTATATGAATTTCTCTGTGAAAGGAAAAACATGTAAGCAAACAAAGAATGGAAAATACAAAGAGTTTAAAATTATATCTAAAAAGAAAATTAGAATTCAGGTCATAGGTATTACTAGCACATATTCTACTGTTTTTAAAGAGCTGCATTGATCAAATTAATTTTAGAGAGAAGAGAAATGACTGCAGAATTGACTGAGTTATATTAGCATTTTACCTGATGATGATCTCTAACTGCAGCTTCCACCTTGATTCTACTGTCATAGAGTTCTGTGAGGTTTTCTTTATCTTTTAAGTAGTAGTTCTGAAAGATTTGATATTCTTGAGCTAACCACAGATTTTCTTTAATGATTTGCTCCAGAGTAGCCTAAAAAGAAAAGGAATGCTGCCTGAATCCACTGGAAATTCACTGGAAGGAATTCACTCCCTGAAAAATACCTTTCTAAAAAATAAAATTTTAGGTCACAGCTGCAATTTTTTTGACTCAATCAGTTATGAACATCTGCAAAATATAGGTGACAAGACTACAGACCCAATGAAGCCAGTGAAAAACCTGCAAATGAATTTAAAGTGGTTAGGAATTTGCTGCATATATTTATATTGTTGGTGAACAGTATTAACAAATTATTGGTAAAGAAAATGATGTTCCAAATACTTACAGTAGAAACTACTAAAAGGAACATGTGTTCCACCTTTTTACATAAGCCCACTTTCTGGATAGAAATTATCACGTCTTATTTGCCAGAGAATCCATCAAATCCTCACGCACATTTTACTTTTCAAAATTCTCATTTTCCGAGTTATTTATAAAATTGACAAAATGTAATGTTCATGTTCTCACTTAATAATTTTAATGTTTCCTGATTCAAATTCGATTAACTTAATTTTTAAAGACTAATTATATTTTTGCCTCTCATCCTTTGCTGGCAGGTGCAGTTAAGGTTATTAGGCATGTATGCTTCTGTAATCAGAAACATTTCAATTGCTTTTAAATCTTATCTTGACTGAATTTCCTGGGTTTATAATGTGCAATCTCACAACAATCACACGATTTTCTAGGTATTATACCTTAATCTATAACAATATCTATGATTCAATTTAATTTTAAATTTATTTTTATAAGGAATTCTGTTTTAATTTTTGTTATTTTTCCATTAGCAAGCGTTGATGGGGAGGGTAGCCCAACTAGACTATCACTCCTTTAATTAGTTGAATCCTGCAATTTCAAAGATCTTTGACATTTACAACTTTTTAAATTTCAACACTGAAAACAGCATAGCTGATTTCCACGTTTCAAAATATTTTTTCAAAAATATTTTAATATACTTATTTAAAATAAATGTTTAAAATATTGTGTTTCATGCTGGTGATGACAGTGCTACCCGGTGGAGAGGAGAGATGCTTGAAAGGGACCATCTGGCAAACCTGAAACTTAATGAATTTACATATATTGTTCCGTACTATATTTGGGCAGTATTTCTGTTAAAAAGGGATGCATTTTGTAAATTAGAGGAGTGGAGGAAATTTTACAGTTATGAGAGGGTGTAGAAGTCTGGGCCAACTAATTAAGCTCAAAAGTCCACGTGGTGAGTGTTTGCCGCAATCTAAGGCAATATTTTCTTGTAATGTGAAAGCTACAGCCTACAAACTGCTAAAGGCAGAAGAGTCCGTTTAAGAGTCTTGGGTATGCGAGAGGCCTGTTTGTAGTCCCGTGTGCCGAGTACACTCTTGCTGAAAAGCAGAACTAACAGAATAGCCAGAGCAGCTGAAGCATACGACGACATCAGCTGCTCTTCGGATGAAGCCTGTCTACCCAGCAGAAGAGAGGACAGAGAGCCCTGCAACTTGACAGTCCCAAACTGCAAGTGAGATGTTAGCGCAGGAGGCACAGAGCAAACAGCTGTCCTAGTAGTTGCCTCACCAAGGAACCAAAAAAATGGATTGCAAATAATTGCACTTACATTTTTGGGAGAGGAATGTTCAAAGTTACTCTGTTTACTTTCCTGTTGTTCTCTCCCACTTCAACAGAGTACTATTTAAGTCAAAAGATGCATGTCCAAGGCAGAAAAATTAGCTCTTGAGCACAAAGCACTTCAGTTTAATTTTCCTACTTTTGTAGCTGTATTTATACATGATTTCTGAGAAACTTTATTTAGAAGCTCGGCATAGTTATACAACTAAATCTAAAAATTCTTAACGTATAGAACACTTACTCCCTACATCATTAAGGTATGAAAACGCAATGCATTTTTTAGAAACCTGAAAACAGTAAAAATAAACACACATTTTAATGAAGAAGATGCAATTACCTCCTTTATTAATCTTTAGGGATAGGTAAAGCCTTCTTTTCAGACTGATACCTTCATTAATAAACATATGATGATTGACATTAATATATTGACATTCAGTATCTGCAAACGACTAATTTTTTCAGCATTGACAATACTTTCACGTATTTAAGGAATCTGGGAAAGCTACTGAAAAGGTAACTATTTATAGAAAATTAAATCTATATGGTAACTTTCACCAGTATAGATACCTCAGTATAAAACCAGTCCTATTATTTTGTATAATTTAAAATAGTACAGACCTTTTGACAAAGAATAACAGCACACCAAAGAAAAAAATTGGCCTTCGCCAGATAGTCAGTAGCTCTGCCTATACGACCAGTTAAACTAGTCGTCCAATTCAAAAAAGTGCTTTGCTGCATAGCCTATGACAGCTGAGACAGTTAGAGTGAAATGGTTCTTTTTCTCAATTCACTGTTCTGAAAGGAGAGCTGAGGATCAGAATACAAAGAGCATACATTCTTTAAATACTCAGAAGTCACCTACTGAGGTTTCTAGAGTGGATTTCCCAGAATATAGACCAAAAAAAAATCTTTAAACGCATTCTATCTTTATGAAAGAGAGGAATGGTTAAACTGCGGCCAAACTCAGTATGTGAGAATATACACTACACTTTCTTCTCCCATTCTAGGAGAATAGGAATATGAATGTCAAAACTGAAAATAAGATGGTTAAATATAGGATCCTGAAATTTGTTTTATCTCTGCATTTCAAACTTCTGCACTCACAGACTTGTGAACTGATAAAAAGCACAAAGATTCATGTGTTCAGTCTTTCCCTTCTTCAGTAAAACTTGAAATGAAAGACTTCTGATACATTAGTCACTGTCTACAGATATGTTTGTGTTCTTCAAATATTTTGAAACTGATGGCTGGAATATGGGAAGAAATTTATTACATTTATTTGTTTTTGTCTGATTCAAATGAAGTACCTTTCTTCAGGACAAAAGGAAGTATAATTCAGAGGATTTTTTGAAGACTCTTACACAAAATGAAATGATTCTCTAAGTAGAGAAATCAAATGAAACTAGCAAATGCCATACCAAAAACAAATGAAAGAAGATAACTTCTTTGCACTACGTGTAGGCAGCATGTGTGGATTCCTGTTAATATTAAAAACTTATACAGGTTTAAAAGGAACATAGACCTTCCAGGAAGATTATTTAATTAAAAATAAAATCGTTGTGGCCGAAATGCTCTGAGGGCTTTGGAATTATTCTGGGGAAGTGTTACAACATGATTGCCTTGTTCGTATAGTCATCCCTGGACATCTGGTATCTGAGGGGGAATACTGGGCTTTGATGGAATTATACGCTTTTATCTCTTTACATTCTCTTATTCAACACAGCAGCTTGGGAAGCATCTCTGTCTTCCAGGGACCGCTGGAAGCTGGAAGACTGTTGTTTGCTATACACATTTGAAGCTGAATTCCTGACTGTCATAACATAAACTGGTATTGAAATAAAAAAACTATGTGAAATCAAGAAAAAATTAAAACACCAAAATCCTTCCTAAAAAAGTTGCAAATAACTGTTAGGACAAGTGCTGCTGAACTATGTAATAGAAAAGCAGATGCAACACCATGCAACCCAATGGTAAATCATCAGTTCAATACCTTGGGATATATGGAATTATTTTATGGTTCCACAGTTGTGCCACAAGGTTTTTTAAAGAATAGCAGAGACCAATCTTAGGTTCAATGATTTTGTTCACATAATGATATATCTATAAACATGATACAAATCCCTGTGACTTACAAAGTCAGTTATCAGTTTGAACGGCCACTCTGACAGCAGTGTCTTGTTCAAAAGATAAGAACAATTGATTTTGACAATCAGGTGCATCAGCACAATAAGCTAATTATTAAAGGATCTATATTAATTGGTTATACTACTTAAAATTGATGTTGTGAGGAATGAATTTGGCTTCCCGAAGCAGGAATAACCCATAATGTGATCAGCCAAAAGAAATCACTTATCTTAAAATTACTGTGTTCACGTGCATCCACCTCCCCTCCCCATAGAACTTTCCAATAGGAGTTTAGTAAAGTTTTTCCAGTAGTGTCTGTTGTGTGTCATATGGTTTCCCTTCTAAGGGCATAAACAGCATGTTGACTCCGAATGCCACACATTCCTCATAACAGAGCTGACAATGCCCCATCACTGGAAAAGAAACTTATTGTAAAGCAGGTAATAGATTTTTCTCCTCTTTGAGGAACTACTGACATACCTAATGCTGAATTAGCAAGTAGTTTGGCTCCTAAAAGTCACAGAAGCTACTTAATTTGCATAACAATCACTGACTTACTCTCCTTACTTGGGATCTTCTGTTCATGCTGCCACCAGCATCTGTTGGTTGGTAAACTCATGCACTGAGGATCATGCAGCTATTCAGTAAATCTCCAATACTGGAACCCTGTTAAGGCATGCTGTGCAAACACCTGAGACCTGCTTGAACAATCTCTCGCATGAGTCAGGAGATTTACCTTGTTGATACTACATACTGTTCTAATAAAATCTGCAATCCACTTTTTTGGTCTCTGAGCTGAAATAGGTCTTCCCCCACATCTGCTGCCAAAGTGAAAAAAAAAGCTAACTTAAGAGTTTTTGACACCAGCTTTGCTTCTGAAACACAACGTCTTTTTACATCCTTGTTATGAATTTTTGCTTTACTCTGTACGGGTGGAGACTTAGAAAATGCACCCTAAAGTATATATGCAGACTGACAGGGAAGTGAGAGTTCATATTTTAGAATATTCTGTTAGAGACCATTTGGAACCAACTAATTTGTTACTCTTTCTGAAGGGCACATGTTGCATAACATTTTCTGACAGATCGCATTTTGCTTATCTGCCAAAAAAGGTAAGGAGAATTAGAGTCTTTCACTGATAATACAGTAGGTCAAATGATAATTCCAAAAATTTTGAAAGAAGTAAGTTTAATTCTTCAAGGGCTCTAGTGGAGAATTAATATGGAAAATAAAAACAGATATATATTAAATATTTACGAGA